ATGCTCACGAACAGGTTGTGAGCTACGGGTCATAAACTCCAGGAGCAGGAGGCATCGAAGATAGATCATTCGAGGCCTCAGTACTTGGTGGAACGCTAGATGACGCAGGAAAAAGGTGCCTCTGGAAGAAAGCCGCAAGCCTTTGACGGTCACTTTGAATTCGACCTTCAGATTCTTGCAGCTGATCAAGCTTCCTCTTCATGCTTGTCGAATAATTATTTGCAAGCACATGCAAACCTCTATTCTCGCGCTTAAGCTGTTTGATCTCTTGCTTAAGATTTTCCATCTCTGCCATCAATGATTCAACTTGACTGGATCGAGCAAGTAGGCGTTGGCCCATGTTGGACACAGAGCCCGCACACTGAACACTGAGAGCTAGGGACTCTTGAACGGCCAACTCATCGGACCGTCCTGAAAGCAGCCTATCTTTAGGAGTGAGGAGGTTCCTAGCTACTATCGTAGCTGTTGTTGCATCTGTCATCACGGAGTCTTCACCTGTAAGAGGGCCATTAAAAGATAAGAAAGACGGGCACCATACATTACCCTGACACGACGCACCCGTATCACTGCCGAGACTCAAATCTAAGCAAATGTTAGATGGGTTAGCCATTTTCAAAGATGTTAAAACAGAAGGGTTGGATGGAGTAAAATCTTCAAAGTGTGCATGTTAGAGGTGATCGATACCTCTATAAAAGGAGAGGCGACACAACCACCGATTCAAAATTGAAGAGACACCACTCTTCAAAGCCGGATTTTCCTGCGTAAAGTTCGCCAACTCTTCAGACACAATCTCGGCTTTTCAGATAACGCGTGCAACTTTGTCAAAAGATCTCTGACAAAGTTGAAAACGCGTGGAGATCATTATCCCAACTACACACTTTTGTCGACAAAGCGTGGGTGACAAAGCCGCAATCTCGGCTTTTCAGATAAAGCGTGCAACTTTGTCAAAAGATCTCTGACAAAGTTGAAAACGCGTGGAGGACATTGCCGCACCCGCACTACTACTTGCCATTACAATTCCTATATACGTCAACATTCAGGGCAAGGCATACATAAAAAAACGCATGACTTTTCTTCTCTGCCGAGAATGTAGCTGCAACCAAACCTCTCAACATGCTCAGTTTTCTTCTTCCCTTGAGAACACCTATTCAACCATTGATGTACCCCCAAAGAAGATACCAGATGCCTGGAGTACAGATGAGGCAGGAGGAAACGGTAGATCGAAGCATGTGGAGACAAGCGCAACAAATATATGTGCTGATTCATTCGCTGCTTCTTCAAAAGCAAAAGTATCTCATATCATCAATGGCGAAAGCAAAGGTATCTCATATCATGCTCTTTTCCTGTCTTTTCCTTTGTCCTTGTTCTTACTCGCATGGCAAAGAGGAAGAGAGCAATCAGCCGGCACTTGGAGTCAGTCTTCCGATCTGGAATCGACTACCTGGAATCTATTTCCTGGTTGCTTACCTAGCGTTGCTCTCGAGAAGAAAAGTCATGCGTTTTTGGTCGTATTATTCAGGGGTCATTTTTTACATGAATCCGGCTGACCTTTTATGGTAACACCTTTTATACTAACTTGTTACGTACGCTTTTCATAATATTGTGGAAGGGTTTCAGATTTAGTTCTTTTAGTTGTTGGAACTTGGAAGAGGCTTTTGTTTACACCTCGTTTTGCTATTTATTTCCTTGAGGTATCATAGGAGGTGGCAAGCACAAACAGAGGATAACAAGAAAGTTTGCCAAATCTGTACGTATTTGGGTTGGGTTGAATATGCCTTTTGGTTCTTTTCTAGTATTGCATTAAACGAAAGTATTGACTTTGTGAATGTTGTCTTTTGAATTATAAACTCCATGAATCCATGGAGAATTCTATCAGCATAACTCTGAATGTGCAGGTTGCTGATCGGCTCCTCTGGTACGTGAAAGATGGAGATATGGTAAAGATTTGTATGCTTATATCTGTTTGCAAGATAATTTTAGTAGGTTGGCATGTGATTGCACTATATTATAACGTGAAATGTATTTTGGATGTTTCGTTGAGTGTTGCCCAGTGAATTGTCTGATTGGTTATACTACTCCACATTAAAGTAAAATGTTATGGAATATTATATGCATATTCTATTTCCTCTTCTTAGAAGCTTCGTAGTACCTGAAATTGTATTTGACTGTTCATCTAGAGGCCTCCTAAACTGTATTTGGCATTCTGTCACTGATCACAACATTTAAAACAGTAAGACAAACTATTGCAGGATGGCGGCTTTTATTTATTAACCATAAAGCTTTTCCATTTTTTGTTTAGAAACTACTTCTAGGACCTGATCATCTTTATGATAGCAGAAGCCTCGATGTTTATTGTTCAAGAAGAAAAAATTTAGGAGATCAATGATTTACACTTAACTGTTTTTTCATTGGGTAATCTATGACGATATTGCTTCGACTCGAAATTGATGACAAACCCTCTAAGGGTTTATTTAAAGTGCAACCCTAATTACAGTAGGGAGCTAAATAACATCTAAATTACATATATGGGAAACTAAAGAACACCCTAATCACCCCACAGTCATGCAGCACGTCTTTGTGAGAGACAAAAGTGTTTTTGGGTTGGAAAAGAAAGCTTTGGGTGATCTAGTCTATCTTTGAGGAGTATTCCTGGGCTGGATTGATGCGCTACGAATGTGACACACAAATTAAACCCTATTTGTGACAATTGTAGTAATGATGTAAGTAGGGATCGTTCTAACCGGGGATTAACTAGGAGTGCTAAACACTTTAAACTGACTCAAATAAATAAAACTAACCTTTAAAACACTTAACTCAATCAAAAACTCAAAACAAGTCCACAAGACTCCAAATACTTAAAAACACAAAATAAGATAGCTTGTAATGATTAAGACTTAACAAAATATGGGGGGATTGTGTTTGGACGAAATTAAATTAAATGGACAGATTGTAAGACAAATTGTGATGAATCAATAGATGATGGAATAGCTAAGGGGTTCATCTCCACACATGCCATACTTGCACACAAAACGATTTCTAATTGCTTTTCAATAACCCATGAATTCTCAACGCCCCAGATTAACCGTGAATTGCACTAATTAACCCTCAGATTTTCCTAACGTTATTGAATTGGATGATTGCATACGACAACCCAAAGCATTCCCCATAAGTTCCCTACATGAATTGCATAATAGAGATACAAGCAAGAATCATTAAGTTCTTTGAAAACCATAAGCATTGACGAAGCATTCGTTACTATGAATTGCATGAAACTTATGCCAAGAATTTACTTAACGCAATTGAGGTCATCAACTTTTACTACTTGTGAATATAAGTTTATAACGATTAGGAGAAACTTCCTTATATCCTAGCATTAGATTTACGCATGATAATTAAGCGTGCACTCTCAACCAACATACACAAATCAGTTTAATTCAAATAGATAAGTAAATTGAGTTCACAACTTATGAAACGCAATTAGAGGTAATCAAATCATATAGCAAGCATGATCATGGTTTCGAATCCCCCCCTAGCCAAGGGGGGTTTAGTTCCTCATACGTACAAGACAAAGATAAGTAAATTTAACCATTGAAATCAAGGAAAGGAAACACCTAAAATTCCAACAACCCAAACTTGAATTGTATGAACGTTTAGGCCCTCTTCTCCTCCTCTTTGTTGCGGCACAAGGTCTAAGGACAGGTTTTGGGGTGGTATTTGTATGGAGGAATGGATGTGTGATGGTAGGGTAGTGTTTTGGAGGGATGGGGAGTGGTTGGAGTGGCTGCAATGGAGGAGAAAATGCTGGAAATGCTGCAATGTTTTGCACGGCAAAGGAATTGTTGTGTGATGGTGTGTATGGTTTTTATAGGGAGAGAATGGATGGGAGAGCATGTGAATGACAGCTAGGAGGGAATGATTAAAGAGGGAATGCATGTGGAAGTGTGGTTGATTGTTTTATGAAGGGGGAAAGCTGGAAATGGGATGGGAGTGCACGGCACACCAAGGATGTGCTGGAAATGAATGTGAAAGCCACGGCAAAGGATTGTTTGGGTGCATGTGGCTGAATTATTTGTTGGGAAAGCATGTGAGTGAATGATTAAAGATGCATGTGGATTAAAGAGGGAATATGGAAGAGAATGTGCTGCAATGATGAAGTGGGAAAGCTGGAAATGCAAGGGGAGGCCACGGCAAGGTGTGGATGGTGCTGGAATTGGTAGGTTATGCACGGGTTAGGATGGTTTTTGGGAAGAGAATGGGCTAGGCCCTTTGTTGTATGTCCTAAAGTGCATACAAGGCCTTTAATTTCGTCCAACACTTTGGCTCCAAGCATAAGCTATCCATCCTTAGCCCAAAAGTGCTCCAAAAGGCTCCAAAATGCACTTCTTTGCTCCTTTAGCCCTTAGAACCTGAAAACATACGAAAATAACTTAAAAGACTTAAAGAACTAAGAAATAACAACGTAAATGCACAAGAACAAGCCAACTAAGTTGCCTAAATATGCTTCTATCATGGATTCGTAGATATTTAGCAATTTTCATTTCTGTTTGGATGTATTCTAGTTACTGGTCCACAGTTATTGTACTGGTTTTGGTATCAATGAAATTGTTTCCCTTATGAAAGGAACATTAAACTATATTGTATTTTCAATTCTGCAATGAAGACATCCATTATTGAAAAAGCTCATGATCTTTACGAATTTTTGTTTGAATTTACACAATTGATCTTGCAATAACCATGTTCACCTTGTAAGCTAGTTTTTCCTGGGATGATAGTCTTTGCACTCTTAAGAAGTACGTATTTACATGAATAGGAAAGAGATTTGGTGTTATTGTGATTCCTTATTCAATGGATGTTAAAATGTTGGATCATGAGCTTATGTGGTTATTTATGATTTATGGATGTCTTGGTTTTTTGTACTGCATATATATTTGCCACAATGTTGGTTATCTACCATCAAAATACTGTTAGAGTACGTAATTACTTATGGTCGGAATGAACAGAGATTTGACTTCTGCTGTGGTGCCAATGATTTCCAAGAAACTTAAAAGGTAGCAGCTTCTTGTTGCTGTCTCTCCCTCGCTTTCACTATCAGAAGGTAAAGCGGGATGTGTTTGTCCTTGTGGCTGAAACTTCATAACTGGGTTGTAGAGTGCAAATTTAATTGTTGCTCGTTTTCTTTCAGTTCTCTTGTATCCCTGGGTTTGCTGATGAGAATGGCAAACAAATGGCTCAATGGAGGAGGCCTCCGCCACTCTATCTATGGAGTGGTCTCGATTAGTTGCTCAGAACAAGGCTGTAGCTCAAGAGCAAGGGCACTTCTCTGCTGAGAACAACATTCCAAACCTCGACTTAATGATCATTAGCAGGCAATAATGATCACAGAGGTGATGGGCTGATCCGAAGGACGATGATTGGCAGATTGTCCCGAAGTGTCATATGGTTGAGTTTATTATCCTGTTGGCTCTGTGTGATCTCAATTAGTAGTGGTTTTGTTAGCATATCCCTGTAAAATACGAGGGTATGTACGTTGTAGCTTTGGGTGTACAGCTTTGTAGGTTTTGTATTTGGCATGAGCTTTCTAGGTTTTACCTTTTGTAGTAGGATGCTGGCAGATGTATGTAGATAAATGACTTTTTTCGGTGCTTTTATGTATGTATGTATGTAAGTAGACTTGTGGGAGCGCCTGATCTTTTCTTTGTGCCCTCTGTAGTTAATGTCGTGTTTATGATTTTGGAAAGTGAAACTTCAGGTTCCATCCCAATCTATTGGTTTATTTGGCTAGGATCACAAATCCCTAATGTCAATTTAAAAGAGAAGTGAAGGTTCAGATCCAACACCATTTCTAAAGCCAAATGTACGCGCTCTGTGGGCCACGATGATTTTATTCGGTTACGTGATGGGTTAGGTACTTTAATATTGTATAATTTTAGTTAGAATTTGTATGACATATGATCTTTGAAATTGGCATCTCTCATCAAAATGATTTTTGAAATTGAAAAGTGATCAATGTAGTTTCTGAAAATGGATGTCGCAAATTAATGTGGTTCTTCCGTCTCAATTTTATCAAAAATTCCATTATGTGCTGATCTGGCACATAACTAGGTTTCACAAGTCTAATTAAATATTGTCATGTGAATTGAAAAAAATATTTAAATAATTAAAAAATAATTTTTATTTTTATTTAATTAAAAACTTAAAAAATTAAAAAGGAAATTTTTACGATGCAGCAGTGGGATAGGATATGGGAGCAGTAGCTCCACCAGAACGCGGGTCTGTCTGGGTTGCAGGTTACGCGTGTGCAGGCTGGTGGTTTGCTGGTTGGGCGGACAGAACAGGTTCGGCTGGATGAGGACTGGTCTACGGTGCAGGTTTGGGTTGTGCCAGGTGACGAACGACGAACGATGAACGATGGCAGCGACTTCGGGATTCTGGGTTCAGCGCGGTGTGGCTCCCGGACAAACAGATTCAAATTTTTTTTTTCAAGCAACAAAACCCTAATTAAAGATTGTATAAGAGTTAAACTTGCAATTGTACAAAATCCGACACCACTAATCTCTTCTAATTGTACAAAAGTCAAGGTTGTAATTTATATTTGAATCAATGGGAATACCCAGGCCATCGAAGCATTCTACATCTCAGCCTTCAATTTCCTATGCTGCATTATTTGTTCATCTCTTGTGCAGGCGTGGTTGTTCTCGGGTGGGGAAGAGGAAGATGAACAAACCAAATTTTTTATTTATAAAGTTTTTAATTAAATAAAAATATTTTTTTTATTATTTAAACATTTTTAATACATACATCAAATATTTAATTAGACTTGTGAGATTCATGAGTGCCAAATCAGTACATAACAAATTTGTTTACAGAATTGTGACATAATCATCACATTGATTTGCAACATTTATTTTTCAAAAACTATATTGTGTTGTACTCTTAATAGATTAGGAATGTGATTGTGTAAATCCTAGTGTATCTAAGGATATCTTGGAATATTCCCTTTAGTAGTTAATATCCTATTAGAGTTGTAAATAAGGAATTAACCCTTCATACTACTATAAATAAAGGCACAATGGGGTGAAATTGAACACACCTCACAATTACACATCTCTCTCCTCTCTCTATGCCGCACCCCTCTTTTTTTCTGGCCTCCATAATTATTCAGTAAATTATGCCTATAGCACGTTCTTGACGCTGCACTAAAGAGAGTTTGATCTTCAATCAGGAGAGTATTACATTTTAATCATTATTTTTATGATTAATTTATTGAACGTGATACAACACATTGGAGATGCAATTCCGGCTTTTCAAGGAGGATCTTCTACAAAACATTCCCCATGATGCATGAACCCCCTACATTTATATTTACCTTCCGATATATATATATATATGTTTCATGCAATACACAATTATGCTATGTGGAATTTGTGAGTCAAAGAATTGAAATAAATTAAAAGCAAATTAGGGGTTTTCAAACCCTAGAGAATTTGAAAAAAAAAAAAATGAAAAAAAAAGAAAATTGGGATTTTTTTTGTGGCACCGTCATCGCACCACTATGACACCATCGCCGGACCACTGTGCTGGCTTGAAGCCCAGCCGCGTGGGGAATGGTGTCATATAGACACCCTGGACCGAGCCATAGCAGCCCTTTGGGCTTGCTGCTATTCGAACCTAACCAGGCTTCGGCCTGGGTTGACTAACACACGGGCCTGAAGCCTCGATCCAACCCAAGTCCACTTCAGCACAGCCTAAAGCTTTGCTGGGCTTGCCTATGACTCGGCCCAATCTGCCAGCACAACCCATAGCTTGTTGGGCTTGACCTCGCCTCGGTCTACATATACCAAAGCTAGCCCAATAAGGCTGGGCTTGAACCACGACCCAAAAACCGAAGCTAGCCTGCGGCTGGGCTTCGCACGCGCATCCCTAGGCCAGCTCCCGAGTTGGGCCCATGTCCCCCCCACCAATTTTTGGCCCAAAAGCCAACAGCCTTATTGCTGGGCAGCCCAGTCTCTAGGCCCATGGCCTACAACCATGCTTTGGCTGCTTTGTAGCCAACCCGAGGCCCATATGCCTCTAGGGCTTTGCCCTACTCACGACACCCAAGCCCAAATGCTATTGGGCTATGATTTTTCAAATCTAATGCTAATGTTTGACATTTTAAATAATTTTAACCCAAATGTTATTATTATTTTGCTTCCACGATCGACCCCGTTTGGTCCCGATCTATTGAATTAATTAAAAGTGACCATCAATCCACTAATCCAAAATTATTGACCTGAAGATCATTTTTGGACATTATTGATTCAATAATTTATTTGTATTCTTTGAACTGTTGACATCCTTTCGTAGTCCCGAAGCTCTCACACTTGAGTTCTCGAAGAAACTTAAATCCACTACACTTAAATTAGCATATTGCATTCTGTGTTTCTTGTAGGAACTTCTCTTTTATGAACTACACATTCATAAACTAAATTGAACCTGTAGTTTCAAATTTAGTGCCTTTGAAACCCGAAGTTTTCATAAAACAAATACACCCATGGAAACTCGACGTTTTTCATGAAAACCATGTCTTAGAACTCGAATGTTCTAACTTTGATGCTTATGGATGATTCATTCCCATAGCACCAATCACAATCTTGTTCCCTCCAATTCAATGGATTGTCGAACTGTCATAAGTTCGATTTCCCTTATTTGGACGTTTTTATCAGAAACCACTTTATGTGGGGTACAAGACGTGAATCTCCACTTGACTATCTAGCCATTCCATGTTTCTAACTCGTTCTTGAAGCAGCAATGTAAAAAGTGGAAGTTTACCAAATTCTTGGATCTGATTACTACCACAAATGTGAGAAGAAAGGTATAGACCCAGCTTCAGCTAGAGTTTACTGAACGGTATAGACTCAATTCGGCTGGAGTTTACCGAATGGCTTAACCCAATTCGGTAAAAGCCTACCGAATGATGTGCCTTGCTTCGGCAGAGATGCACCAAACAATATTGCTCTGCTTTGGTAAATGCCTACTGAAAAGACCCCTCCAGCTTCGGCTAGAGTCTATTGAACCTAAATTTGGGTTTGTCTCTCTCACGATCCAATTTTGAGTTTGTTTTTACAACCTATGGTAGAATTAGGGCTTGCCAGGGTGTGGCATCATGCCTAAAGCACGATCCTGGGCACCTAAGACATAATACTTCAAGAATAAGGGATAATATTCCCGAGCCTCAACCCTGTAGAATCTACTTCCGTCTCGATGGAATAGATCATTGGTTATGCACATGTTCGTGCCCTTACCAATGTTGTTGAGGAGTACCATTCTCGTAGTCAATATGTGAGATTGATTTTGCTCCACCAGACATCGTTGGAAGAGCAGAATTTTGACATGGATGGCTTTGTTGGCTGAATCCCCTCAGTAAACAATTTACTTTTTGAACATTTTTTCATGTTCTTGGAATCCAGTTTGGTGTTTGTTTTTTGTTATGGATAATCTTATTGATATTGTCCTCGAATACGAGTTAATTGAATCATGTTTCTTATATACATGTGACTAAATTCAATTAAACACGTGATTAGGTACGAATGTGGGAAAATTAGTTGTCTGGATGAATGACTTTATGCTTAAATCACATCTTTAGCAACGACTTCTGGTCTATCCAACATGATTAAGAGCATTGGCACGCTCCTCGTTGTATGAATGGTATTAAATTACCATTTAAGGGACCTTATATTCTTCCCATTCCGGAAGAACGTCGTTGAGTTTTAAAGGATATACAAGATGACAATGATCATGAATGAAACCACTGAAGAAAATAGAGTGACATGTCTTTGCACCACCTCCAAAAATGAGCCTGAAGCTTTGATTTGGGGCCAATGGGTAGTCTCCCAACTGGGAACACACCACATGTGGCCATCCTAGAGCTTGATGATTGAGCAGTTTACTTGATTTGGCACAACCATTTGGGACACTTTGGTCGAACAATGATACTACAACACATCTCCTTACCCGTAGTAAGTATCTTGTGCCTACAAGCACACTTTGCCAAACCTGCTCATTAGGGAAATTGATTTTCTAAATCATCCCTTGCAAAGATACGAAACAACCTTCTTTTCATAGTGAATATATGTGGACTAATCCAACCAAAATGTGGACCATATAAATACTTATGGTTTAGGTTGATGAATCGACAAACTGGTAACATGTTTGTCCACACACATTGCTGCTAAACCTCCTAGCCGATTTTAAATGTTCACCACCCTACTTATTCCTTAAAGTCTGGGAGACTGAATAATGCTATGGTTTTCAATAAAGTATTGCATGTCTTTTAGATTTATAATTGAACATCAAATTCCCATGTTCACCCCAAATAGCCTCGCCTAGCGATCATAAAGCGCAATTTAAATGATTAAGACATGATGCGCCATTTAGTTGAGTATTTGCACACTCAAGGGGGAGTGTTGTAGTCATATTAGATTAGGAATATGATTGTGTAAATCCTAGGTATCTAGGGATATCTTTGAATATTCCCTTTAGTAGTTAATATCCTATTAAAGTCGTAATCCTATTAGGGCAAGGAATTAACCTTCCCTACTACTATAAATAAAGGCACAATGGGGTGAAATTGAACACACCTCACAATTACACATCTCTCTCTTCTCTC